TTTTTTGCAGCTTTCTAATTTTGATTAATTTTGGCATGTTATGAAATTATTTTGTGGGTGGTGCATTGTGTCAGGACCCGCCAGCTCCAGTTCCACCTAAAGCAGAGCAGTCCACATCAGCGATGAAGCAGGAGAGACCGAGACCTTATTGTAGTTTTATACTTGTAGCAAGTCTTGTAGCATACGGATGCATACTGTCTTGTGCAACCCATATACTTTTGCATTGCTTAGCTGTTGTGGGCGGTTGTGGAGGAGCACAGAGCTGCAAGACCTGCTCTTGCAGAAGCTAAAGTGTGTGAAGGACTGAAAGAGCCCAGCATACGTCAATATATATACATCAGCGTGTCCCACCCTGGAAAGTATCGGAAAGTCAATGAAAGTAAAACAAGGTTTCCACTAAAAAAGGTCACTGCACTCCTCTCTGCCAGGAAATGTGGTTCCGGATTGTTTGGTGGAGTTCTGCACTGACCACCCTCTTCGACGAGCAGTGCGTTTACCTCACGTGGACCCCTGTCCTATTTGGTCCTACTATGTCCTATTGCTTACAAAGGTAATCAAAGGTAGTTGAATCAACTTGAATGATGTTGAATGCACGCTTTCGTGATCTTTCTTGACCGTGCATCTAAAAGGGTGGTTTTGTATATTGTTGATTATTGTTGTATGTTTTGAGCGGACGTCGAGGCTTTTGGTGAAGACCGTGAGATGTGTGATTTGGAAGCCAGCGCAGTCTGCTACGCCTTGCCGTGGGATGAGCAGTGTGCTGATTTTGAATTCAGAGCGTGTTCATCTATTCGTTTTGGTTTCTATTCTCGTTTCTATTCGTTTCTCTTGGTTGCCGTCGTTTGCGGATGTTAGCTGATTGTTGGCTGGGTTGATCTGGATTGCGCGGCTGAATGCGGCTGAGGAAGCTTTATTGGAATCTCTTTCTCCAGGAGTCAGCCTCATTGAACCACTTTCTTGATGAAAACCCTGAGGCAGGTCACCACTTTCTCATGTTTTGAATTGTTTTGATAATTTTTGTTTCTTTGGAAACTCGCAATTGTGTTTGTCAAGTGTTTGTCGATGTTTGTTGTGCGCGTTAGATCTTGTGAAGACTTGTGGCCTGGCATATCCCGGCATCATTTGATTTCAGACGCGGAACTAATTGCTGCTAGTTGGGCCGCCCGTTGCATCCAATTTGCTGTCGGCCTGATGCGTGTGGTGGTTTGGGCCTTGCTTGGTGCATTTTGCGCCGCTGCGCCCAAGGACGTTTGCCATGATTTGCCCAATATTTTTCGCACCATTTCCTGACAGCGTAGAAAACTCATGAAAACATTGAAAACTCTATGTAAAGATTCGTGAAAAAGAACATTTGTGCCAGGAAGACATGACAGCATCTTTGCCAGAGTCCAGCTGTTTTGTTGCAGATGACTTTGAAAATGAGTTGCTGGAAAGAGCGCGGTCCTTCACTGGCAGCCGTACACTTCATTGCTTGGACTTGTTTGGCTTTAGTGGCAAGGTGTCCCAAATTTGGAGCAAGCAAGGATATGAATCTGAGCGATATGACATCTTGAGGGGGGGGGAGGTCAGAGGACATCTTGGGCAAGCGCGGCTTCTTGAACTTGATGCGGAAGGGCTTATCTTTGCTGCCTGCAGGGGTCATCATAGGTGGCCCCCCATGCTGCATGTTCATTTTTCTGCCTCTCATTTGCATATGGGATTATGTGTTTAATTATTTCAGGGGTCCTGTGGGGTCCTGTGGGTTCAAAAATAGTTTTGTGGCGTATAAAAAGGTTGTAAAATGTAAATATATTATATATATATGTTTATATTATACATCTTTTTAAATTACAGTATATACAAATACCTGACAAACAGATGTTTTTGCAACTTTATAGAATGAAGCTGGGGTATTTGGGCCAATCCTGCTCCATCCCAAGGAGCTGCAGTGTGCACCAGCGTCATGCTTTTGGACCTCAAGGCAACACAGGAGTCTTCAAGGTTAGAATGGCCAATCTAATTGTGCGCAATCTGTGCACATTTCTGCGAATCCTGAGAATTCTTGGAAGAGATTTCTATGTGGTGCTGGAGCAACCGACATCCAGTTGGATGTTCAAGCTTTCCTGGGTTTTGGCCCTTGAAGCGTTGTTGGGAAGCATTTGCGTGACAACATGGCCACTGGCTGATGATTAGTATTGCTGTGCTGATCTGTACTGTATGAAGACTCAATAGCGCTCACCAATAACGTTACCACATGTATCCATACGTTACCCAATGTCCACTAAATCCTTTGACTTCTTGATGGATCTTGATGGCATATGCCATCGCATGCCTGTGATTGCTTGTGCCTAGGCAAGGGTGCTTCGGCCATGATCTACCCAAGCCAACTCATTTGTGGGGCACGCTTCCAAACCTTGGGGCCATGACCAGGAAGATGACGCGCGCCAAACGATCGCAAATTCAGCAGCGTCTGACCAGGCGTAACGCGCGCCGGGTCAGGCCCCGGTTCTACTATTTCAAGAAGTTTCCTCAGGGTGGGCACACCGGTGGCGTTTCTGGCACGGAGGATTTGGGCAAGACAGCTGATTATACAGCAGAATTCTGCAGGTCCCTCTTAAGAATTTGGATTGTGGCCTTCAACCACTATCACCAGATCTGAGGGGATGTGTGCCAGAGCCCTGATTCACGCGCCAGCTGCCAAGCCAGCTGCTGGAGTGTAGTATGTTTTCTTTTGATGCAAAAATGTACAGAGCGGCCCAGATTTCCACCAACTTTGCTGACAAGCTGGCACTTTCTGACCCAGACCAGTCAAACCCTGTCACATCCTGTCACTGTCAATCCCTGTCAACCGATTATATTAGTATATTTGCCATTGTTCGGGGCATTTCGGGGCCGCGTTGGTTCTAGTACAGTAAGCTATGTTGTAGTCTGTTCATGCTGTGTCCACTCAGCCAGCAGATATGAGCAGACGCTAGCAGAATCCGCTGATGCACCGAAGGCTGTTTATGGCCTAGGGATGCCTAGGGAGCGGCAACCATGAGCGGGCACTGCAGTGGGAGATAGTGGGAGTGAAAGACGAACAAGCGCAGACTATCGCAGACTAGAGTTTGCTTTTAGAATCTTTTAGAAATTTTTTGAGACTCAGTATTTCTCAGATCCTCAATGATCCTCAAAAGATCGCAGACGTGACGTTTCCAGCTTTTTGCTGAGCTACGATGTAGGCTTCGATGAAGGACTTCTGCAAACTCTCCGACAAAGAGAAGTTTGAGTGGATCCCCAAGGTCAGGGTTCGTTGTTTTGTGTTGTTTTGGTTTAATATGGTTTAATTATGTTTAATTTATATAGTATTTACATGTATTTACAGACAGTTACAATATGTAACAGTATATTTTACGTTTGCCGTGTTGGTTGGACCGTGTCGCGAAGGATTCTGTGGCCCACTTGGCAGTGGTCAGCAGGTACCAGTCTGTTTTGGCATATGTGGCAAGTCGCGGTGGCTGCGACAGTCCTGACTCTGACAGCTCTGACAACGAATTCCCAGAAGCGTCAGGATCAAAAGAAGACGGAGCGTCGGAAACTTGCCGGACTCCAAAAAGCGTTATATCTGTTTTTAGCGACGTATAGACATGTATAGTGGAGACATGTGGAGACATGTGGAGACAATTGAGAAAAGTGGAAACTAAACTGTAAACAAAGCAATTTGTTGCATTGATGTGCACTGATAAATTATTTTTCAGGTGGTCGACCCCTTTGAGTGGCCCACCTCCATTTTACATGGAGGTGAATGGAGCATGTCTGAGCGGTTTTTGGGCAACACACTTCAACATTACAATTGCCTTACAGTGTCCCCCCACCACCAGAATAATTCATTGTACACCGAGTTATTTTTAATCCTGCCTCCCTGTGAACCACTCACCATTTGTGTTCGCACCCCTTTCAAGCTTCCCCCACCCCAAAAATAATTTTGACAAGATAATCTTTTTGACAGACACATATTGAGCTGTCAAGGACCGTGGAAGCAAAGCTCAGCCACCACAACCTTCCGCACCGCAAGCCAAGCGACCGGCTGATTCTTTGGAGGTGGCTTCAGAGAGAGCCCTCAAGAAGGAGAAGAAGCAAGCCGAGGCATCAGAATCCCAGGGAGTTATGGTTCCCGTGCAGAACGACATCATGAACCTAGTTGACAAGAAGTTACAGGAGACGCGTGGGTATGGTCACATAACTAAGGGATACTAAGGGTGTTCCTTTCTAATCCTTTCTATACACAGTTAGAGTTAGAAACCTTACCTGTGCGCTGCTATAACTATGTTATTGAAGGTCACAACAGCAGATAATGGATGATAATGATTGACAATGGCAATATTTTTTGAAAGGGTTTGCCAATATTAGTGTTCGATAGTGGTGGCATGTGGCACCAAAAAGGAGCGCATGGAAGCCAAAGAGGCGAAGAGGCTTGAGAACGTTGCCAAGGGGTACCTGAAGAAACAAGGCTGCAACTTCAACATGCATTTCCAGGTTGCGCACAAAGGCACGAGCCATGCTGGGAATTCGAAGCACTGGAAGGAATTCCTGAAAGGTGTCATTGGTGAGGTGGACATTTCTTGTCACGAAAGGTAGCGGTTACGCTACCTGAGTTTTCCTTTTGCTTTAGCAAAAATGTATTAACCCAGAGCTGCAGCCTATCTCTCGGAGAAATGGTCCCCGACATCTTTGGTTGGCGGGGGGGGGGGGGGCCCCCCCCCCCCCCTTTCAACTCCACCCTAGCGCGCCTCGGGGTCAACGGTGCGAAAACACTGTAAATATCAGTGTTTTCAGCTCTTCCAGTCCTTAGCAGTGACCAAAAATATTGAAATTTACAGCGTTTTTTGTGGCTGTCCGGCAAAAAACACCGCAAAAACCGATGGTTTTTGATGCGTCTCGGTTAGAAAAATGACCAAAAAAAGACCAAAAACCAGGAAAGATTTTGTCAGAAAGGGTTTTTGAGGCTTTTGGAGGCTTCAAAATTGCACAAAACTATGGTATTTACAGGGTTTTGTGCACCTTCCCGGCAGAAAACGCCGGTATTTACGCGGTTTTCTGCGTTTTTCCAGCGCTCAACCGTGGAGCGCCTTTGGATCGACGGCTACAAAATACCGTATATACCAATGTTTTCAGCTCCTCTTGTCTTCAAGCGTGGCCTTAGACCTTGCCGCAGCTGTGGATCGTCGGCAACGAAACCTCGTAAATACCAGTGTTTTTGAGCACGTCCTGTTTGCAAGCCTGGCCTGCGGCCATGCATTTTACAGGGTCGCCGCACGTCACTATGTAAAAATGAAGTGGCATTTGAGAAACATGTGACTCCTTTTGAAGGCACGTCAACCTGTATTGAAATCGCTAGACCGCTACAGCTTCTGCAGGCTTGGTCAAGCTTGAACCTTTGATGTGCCAGCTAGTCCATCCGTCCTTTGTTATTTTCCTCTTTAAGGACCGTGGGTGTGGTGCAGGAGTGCCCCGCTAAGAAGCCCGTACCCTCAAAGGTCAAACCCCGCTAGGCAGGGGGGTCAAAACTCCTCCACAGGTCCTAGATATGCTTATGGCAAGTCATTTTGGAATAGCAAATCGACCCCCTTTATCATTCCTAAGACGGGTCGTCCTCTACGAGCCAGAGGTTTTCACGCTTCGTGTTGGAAATTCAGCCGGGGGGTTCATTCAAAAAGGACGTCATTGCCTGCACCTCGCCCCCGACCGCGGACCTCGCCGCGACCTCTCAAGCTCCCATCACGGAGCGTCATGCGGAACCCGCCGTGCTCTGTTGGGGCGGAAAGCATCCACCGGGACGACCATGAGGCCGCTTGGGAGCATAGCGTTGGAGCCACCACGAGCTGCAAAAACCGGCGTGTTGCCTTCCTGCAGTCTGAAGCTCGATAATTACAGGCCTCAGGCTTAGCGCCATGAGAGGAAGACGTCTCGATGGAACACCCGCTGCATGCAGTAGCATTCAACGCAGGGCCAAAAACGTGATATGATATATATATATATATATGCCCTAGAAGTCCAAAGACTATTTTTAGACCAACCGATGTAAAGGAAATGGTCACCTAAAAAGAGCATTCTTTTTATAGTCTTTGACTCCCAGGGTATGGCTAAGCTATTGGCAAACTTAAAGCCATCGTCCCAGGTCATAGACATGCTGATCGGTCGATCGGCTCCGGCTGCCCTCGATCTCAGGTGCCGTGTGCCAGGGCTGCTTTGCTTGGGCGCTCTCATTGCACTTGTGTGTTTTGGCGTCAGTGACACGTCCCGGTAATCCGGGCGACAACGACGACGTTCGGATGTACTGCTGCCCGATCTACTTAACCTCACCTACCCTACCGTACCCTACCTAATACTGCTACTGCTGCTGCTCTGTGTGCTACCTCACCTACTACTACTACCTACCTACTGATACCTACTACGGAGAACTATGTACTACTAACTACCACCATCACCACCGCCAGGTTGAAGATGCTGGGTCCACTGCTACCAATATAATCCAATATATATATATACTACAACACTAACACTATAGTAAACTCCAGGGGGTCCAACAATCCTCGGTTTTTGTTGCGGGTTTCGAGCGATGGATTATTTTTTTGAAAAAACACGCACCCCACCCTCCAGTGTAGGGAAAAGAACCGTTAGCATTAAGCTAAAAACGATTCCCTTGATTTGTATGGTTTGGTCTAATTCATGGTAACTCCCCTGGCATGGGGAAGATTCTTTTAGCTTTACCAAATTCCTTAGGGCAAATCCAAGTGTTCGGTGATTGGGGTGTCCATTGTTTCCCACTCGAAAAGATCAACAAGAGCAGGTGGAAAGGTGGAAGCTTTAACCTGTTGGTGTTCGCCGGGGCTGTCGATTCTCAGACCGACGTGAGGTTGAACAGGTGGAAAGCTTTGGGGGTCGCCTCTTGAAGTCACAAAAAGGTCACGTACTGAAGGTGCTGGCAGTTCGATGTTTACCGTGTCTACCGCGCAGGGCAACGGCCAACCCCCGGCCAGCGCCCCGTCTCGCAGCTTGCTGCCGAAAAAGCGTCGTTTTCAGTGCTCGGCGGTGGTTCAGGTCCGAAAGCCTTACTATGACGACGGCTGGCGCATAGGTGGAAAGAACATGTGGATCGAGGCCTGACGCGAGTCAACGTGCGTTGAAAGAGCGAGAGAGAGAGAGAGAGAGAGAGCCATCCAACTGCGCAAGAAGACAGAGCGCTGGGGTGGCCTGGGCGGGCGGCAGCCCGAACGCGGATTTATGTCGCTGAACGTGAGGAGTGATGGGGATTGAAGTGCCTTGAGGTGCGTAGCCACAGCACAGATCCAAGAAGTGTCCAGCAGGGTTGTGAATACAGATGAAGCCGTTCCTTAGTGGCTCCCCCAACGCAGGAATTCCTCTTAAATTGACTCACACCCCAAGAAAGACCTTTGACCTGGCTGAGAAGATACGTGCAACCAAACCATCCCAACCTCTGAGCTGGAGGAACGGAATCCGAATTCCCTGTGGGGCCCCCATTCTGGGACAGATGTTTAGTATGTTTGGCCAAGTTCCTAAAACAACAGACCCAAGATTTAGGCATATTAGGCGGCATATTCTGAGTATTCTTCCTCCTTTGTTGGACCACGTTTTTCGTCGCATACCCGCTCTCCCACAATCCGATTGCAGTTGGACAATTTCGGGAGGATTTTAGGAGGGACCCCTCTGACGACATTTTGGCAGTTACGGTGACCAAATGAAAACGAAGTCGGAGCTGTTACGCACTTAGTAGCTTGCTTACGGCTACTGTGTGCGGGGACAACAGCTATTTATCATCATTTTTACTTTGGCTGCTTGGACTGCTGCTCTCCATTCTGAGTGTTTTAAAGCCATCTATATAAGACTTAGCTGCTTTGCAGCCAATTGCTTGCCCGTAAAGTGGTCCATCTTGCTCACAGGACAAGTTGGAAAGAAACTGGATGACTGGAATTCTGTCGGTTGGAGGACTGAGTTGGGCGAAGCAAAGGTCATAGCAGGCTTACCGTTCGGAAGAGTGATTGTGTAGGGTTTCTTGCCCCGCAGGGACAAGGGTGTGCAGACAATACCGAACTGACCGAAATGAAGAGTGTGCAAAAACACACCCGGAGAATCTGAGTCTTTGGAGATCTTTTTTGGCCTTGATGCTTTTTATGTTTTTGAGGGTTGGATTCGTTGGATAGGTAGCTCACAGTTTTGGGGGGATCCTTTCTGGCGACCCAGAAAAGAGAGACCTGTTATAGATCGGGGGTCAAGAATCATACCTGTTGCAGACCGAGCATACATATAGACCAATATATATAGGTATACAATTTTTTATGAACATATCTATACATACAGACACAAGCAGCTCCTAAAAGGAAGCCTTTTGGAGGATAAGAGTGGATATGAATGGACACTCGTACAGAAGGACTCCAGAGCACCATGGTCGCGTTCGGGTGTTGCAGACCAAGACCTGTTGCGCTCTCCACTCTCCTGGGTAAACTTCTCCAGTCTCTTGTGCTCCGCCCGACGAAAACCAGGGTTTGCCTTTCGCAGTATCGGTTGGGATCTAGGCCTCCTTGGGATGGGTCACATGCACATGTATGCTTTTGCTCGGCCCAGAGTGTCATAGACCTTGGTCCTAGTGTTGCAGCCAAGCCGAAGACAGTCATCACGCGAAGCCCATACATGTAGCACAACGAGGTATTCCCACGGTCCCTACTTCCTTTTTTGCCACTTGTCTCCGTGCCTTCCATCTGGCATTCGTCCTCGGCCTTCGCAGCCTATGGCGTGGCCACGTGAGAGCCTGGAGGCTCTTCTGGAGGGCGGGCCTCCACCTGAAGATATGCTGGTGCGGCTGCAGCATCTGGCGCATGTTGGCAAGCCCACCGACCCGTCAGATTTTTTGCACCGCCTCCAAGCCATTTTTTCGCACCCCCAACACTTCACATCTCCATTGGACCTCCCCCTCACCTGGCTCGTGGCCTTTATGTTGCGGCGCCACCCCACACCACACCCCCAGGAACCACCTTGGGTGGATACATTCTACAACGCACAACACCCCCTCTACACCTGGACACCTCACACAGTCCAAGACAAGGTGCGCTGTCATGCCCCCACGAAAGCTACCGGTGATCCTTTTGCCGCAGCCTATCAGCAATTTGTTCACAACGCACGGCGCACCAGCCACCAGGACAAACGTGAACTTTTTGTCATGTCCGCTCTCATCCTGGTCCCCCGCTCCCAAGCTCTGTTGGACTTTTTCACCCTTCACAGCCAGGAGCCCCTCACACAACACACCATCACACAACTCTACAGCTATTTCCTGGAGCGACAGAACATCTACCCGGGCCTGACAGCGACGCGGTCGCGCCAAGCCCACACCACTGAACAAAAGGTCTTATCTCTAGGTACCTTGATCGACGTGTTCTTGGTGCCCTTCTTGCTGGACAATACCCACTGGGATGGGCATTTGGTCCTGGACAGTGCTGCGTTTGTCGGCGATCTTTCTGCGATGCCCTGGCTCAAAGGTGCACTCCAACATGTGCACTTCTGTGATTACGCCATTTTGGCGGGCATCATGCAGGAAGTTCCCGACAACGAGCACTACGCTAGAAATAGCCGGTTATTCTTGGAGATGACGGCGCACGGCAACTATGAGACTGTTGCCGCTGCCCTTGCGCCGTACCTGCCCTTCGTCTGCACCTGGCGGGACGCGTCGGCGTCGGCCTGTATGGTCGTCCGGCTGATGGAGGCCTTCCTGGCAGGTTCGACGTTGGGCAAGGGGCGCTTTGCCGAGTACAGGCCAGACATGTCCCCATTCCAGGCGCGGTTGCGCACGAACTTGGACCGGCACCCGGTTCTCGACCCAACGCTCTTGGACCGCAGCCTCTTATACCAGGGCTGCAGGTACATTAGCCCAGGCATTTATTGCCAGACGTTGGGGATTACAACCGGCAGCGCGCCGCGGCGCACGGCCCTGCACGACGTTTCCCGTTCCTTGCTTGCACTTAGTTCCTCTTTGTCCCAGATTTTTCCGTCGCACGCCTTCGTCTCCAGGTTACGCAGCGGGGCAGCGGCTCTATGTCTTGGTCTCGCCTCGGCGCTTGGGCCACCTCCTAGCCGAGTTGGCGGGCGTGGACGCCGCGGGCGACGGGCGGGTGACGGTACGGCAGCCCCGCCGCGGTGACTTTGTCACGTTGCTGCGGCTGGCTGCTGTCGCCGCCTTGGATGCTGGCCTGCCTGGCAAGCGGGCACGCGTCAGGCCCTCGCTTCACACATGTCCTTCTACGCAAGTCGTTGCCACTGTCCGGTTTTGCAGGTGACCTTGGCGGCGACATCGACCGCCCCGCCCTCGGTGCCGTCTTGTTGTGGACGTTCAGGTGTTGGTTTCACTGTCAACGTGTCATTCCGTCTCCTCGGTCCTCCCACACTGCAGCATATAGGGCCTCCTCACGCTATATGCCTTGAAACACCGCTCTCCAGACTCTCCAGACCCACGCCTGCCTCTGCCTTTCCCCCGTCGCCTGAGGCTCGCCTCCTCCCCTGTGGCGGTGCTGTATATCGAGAACCTTCTTTTGTGGGCGCAAGACCATACGTCTGCTCCGAAAAAGCTCGGGCTCCACGCGACCCATCTCGCCAAGTGTGTTCGCATCGTGTCGCCGTGTTTGTCTGCTCAGCTCTCGGCTTGCTAGGACCTGGACCTGTGGGTGCGCTTTGGAACGAGCACATTCCGGCCTATGGGCGCGCCTCGTCTTATCCGAGGTAGACCAAGGAAACTAAAGGACTGGTACTTAGGGGGCTTGAGCAAAGACTGCCTCCGAGGCTTCTCTTGCGAACCATATTTTGTCTATGCAGGTCTATTTCGCTACATACATTGATATATCTCTATCTACGATACATACGTATTTACACCCTATATATATATATATATCTTTGCACCCTGTACTGTAGCATCCAGCATTGACTCCAGGGCCTTCCCTGGACCTCAGCGCCTCAGGTCTCTCGGGGTAATTTGTCGGAGTTACCAACCGCCCGGCTGCACTGCCACGGTGGCCTACATGAAAACCAGCCGCCACCGTACGTGTGCTGTCCCGTGAAATGGCATCGGGGATGGACGACTCGGCCCTGTTCCAAAGACTTGACCTGGCCCCGCGACAAACACGGTTCTGGTATACATTTGGACACAAACAGCTTTTTTGAAGACGGAAAGACCTAAAACAAGAACCTGATAGACTGCCGGTTTCGACTTGCATCTAGAAGTGCGTTTCTTCGGATGCTTTTGGACCCGAATCCTCTAACCAGGTCCAAACAAGTTGATCTCTGACTTCGGACCATTTTTCCGTCCGTGGCGCCGGACCGAGGCCCTCTACTGGTTGATCGGTGGGGCCGATCCGATCAGGCTGGTGCGGTTCCAGGTGCGGTGGAGCGTTGGGGGGGTTGACCATGGCAGGTTGGAGTTGATCTGTGTGGATGGTGTACATGGATGTGGTTGTCATGTGTTGTGTTTCTCCCATCGATTCGGTTGCTTGTACCAAAGGCACCACCAGGGTTTCCTTTGTGACTTGCAACATGTATTTCATAAAATGTTATATTTGAAGGAGTGACTGTATCCTACCGCAACGCATCCATGTTGGGAAGCACTTCATCCTGACAGGTGGTCCTGAAGCCGGGACCCTCAGGGCAACCGACCAGCTGGTGGTGGTCGAACGTGCAGCGAGCTTCAAGAAGCTACCGGGTCGTTGGCGGGTGTTGTGAGGGTTCGCGTTTTGCTATGTTTTTCTTATCCTTTGAGGGGATTCTTGCAATTCAGCATATCGTTGAGAACCTGGGGGTGCTAAACGTAGATGTTCCGACTTTGAACCTTGAGGCCTCTTCTGGTCGAAGTCTTCACATCAGAAGCCAAGCAACCCGGGCCCGACCACCTGCCGGCCTCACTTGGAAACGACCAACCACCGCTCTTCCAAGGCCATTGAGAGCCCTATGAAGACATGATCTCTAGGGTGTCCTCCTTTGGCAGATATTTGTGTCTTGGACTTGCCTTGATGCCGAAGTTCGCTTGGCAAATCTGCAGTTTTTCACGCCGTGAAGTAGATATGCGTCTTGACTCCGGACTGCCAGCATACCGTCAGTTCTTCACCTGAGGTTGAAGTATGTTGATGCTGAAAGGCTAGATAGACCCGAACATCCGCAAACAAAACCAGGTCCATTTTGTCTCAGTTTTGGCAGGAGTAACAATCAGGAGATGATCACAATCATGTTTTTTCCACGAAGTTGGTTCTTGTCACTATCAACACTACCTACAGATAGGGGCTTGCAAACCCGGGGTTCACATCAACCAACATGGACTCCTGGAACTGTTCGTTTCCCCCGGGTTTCTCGTCGCCGAGGTTTAGTCTGGGGGACTTCCGACCTCAGTCACACACTCCTTACAAGTGACATCAGGTGACATCATCCAGAGTTTGCCGTTCCAACCCGTCTGGGGATCTTTCTCCATGAGCAACCACTTCAACGGGGAGGGGGGGCCATATGTTCTGCGTGGAAACCCCACCCGAGCACCTTCTCCCCCCCCTGAAATTCTGGTCGGGTCCTCGACTGTCGCCGTCTTCCACGCTGGGCTCACACCGCCGTGCGAAAACCCCCGCCCCGGACGCTTTGGAGGCTTGTTCCTCTACTACGACGAGAACTCGGCGACTGCCACTTCCCCTCCAGTCCGCTCTTGGGGATCTTGGTGGCGTGGAGGGAATGAAAGTGGGACCGCGCGGTGGGAATTTCGCGCGTGCGGTGTTTGTTTTTGTGCGCCCGGGGTTCATACAGGATGTTTCATATGGGATGTGGCGACCATGTGCTTTGTCGTGGAACTATAGGACGACCCATGCCAGGAGAGCTGTCCTGGATCGATCGAAATGACCTTCAATGGATGTTTGAAATGACTTTTGCAGGACACAACAACCTTCCAAGCGACCCCCTATGAACTTCCATTAGCTTCAGCGACTCTTGGGTGGTCTCTTTTCGCCGCCGCAAAAAGGCCGTCAAACGCAAGAGACGTCGTGTCCATGAGCCCGGACATGGGTCATCGATAGCGAAGATACCGCTTCGGTCGCAGTCTGGCCGCGACGGGAAGAGGTGGATGGGAGCAAGACGCTCCATGCAGCTGGGGTCTTCAAGCCAGAGGTCAAGACACCCTTCCTGGATAAGGCGCATAAATTCATGATCTCCTCCACGCGTTGAGACTTCGTGCGTCAGCATGAGGGGCAGAGAGGAGGTGGTTAGATCTCAACCTGTGAGGCAGAGGGTTGAGAACTGTTTTTTCAAGCAGGGAAGTATTGCCTCCAGGGCTGCGCAAAGCGTGCAGTCGTCTCTTTTCAGGACAGAGGCAATGCCTTGTTCTATGTGGGCGCTGAGCGTTGGGCTCTCAACGTAGTGGAAGTCGCGGGGCTTCTTACACTCCTGGAAACTCGACATAGACCCCTGACACCCTCAAAGATCCGTTTCTGATCAAAGACTTTGGCTGATCTCTCGACTTGGACCCTTTTCATGATGTTTTGGTGTTCTTTGGATGGCTCACTCACCGCGGGTTTTTGGTGCCGCCTCCTCACTTGCTCCAGAAGACAATCCCTGAGACTCCACACATGGCATATTTACCTACATTGGGGTGGTGTGAGGGGTCAATGTAGGCATATATGACTCACATGGAGTGTCTGGGACAGTCTGGGAATCTGCTCCTGCTCATTGTTGGATATCCGGACATCCTCCACAGTGCTTTTCTCTTTTCTAGGTGCTCAAGAGCTACAACGCTTCCGAGCTGCGGATGACCTTCGTCTACAGGCCAATTGAGCCTTTATCCGTCGTGCCTGGCTTGGGGTGTTTTCGGGCGCCGGGGTGTGAAGTGGGAGGGAGGGGTGAGTTGCAAAACCCCTCCTGATCCTTGGTGTTTCCATTCGAAGTTCATGACACTTTAAGTTTCGTCAGGATGGATAGGAGCTGCGCCGGCGCAGGACAGGGGCAACAGGGGCGACAAGGGCGACAGGAGTGGAGTCCGAGCCCATCGGCGACAGGAGTGGAGCTTTCTGTTTCTTCCAGGGTTGCGTGACGCTACGGTGTTCGGTTTTCCGGGGTTCGGGGTTCAGTGCCTTGTTTCTTTCCCTAGAGGTCGAGTCTGACCCAGCTCCAAGCCTAATCTTTTACCTTCTTGAGTGGCGTTCTTCAATGACACAATCCCATAACTAACATGAGGTCAAACTGACCTCTAGGGTTTGGAGGAACCACATTTTGTCCAGGAAGCTTTTGGTCTACTGCTGTCAACTTGACAACCTCCAGCAAGCTTGAAAGTCCAAAGAAAAGCCTGACTCCTCTTCGAACCCTCTCTCGGGCACGCTGCTTCACCTCAGCGGAGGAACAGTTCGCAGCATCCTTTCACTACCGTGTCAAACCATGCCGAAGGCACGGCCAGGCAGTTTTTTCCTTGGTTTTTGGTCAAGGCCCTGCGGCTGGTTTGCGAGTTTGGGGGATGCATAAAAAGCAGAATATTGTGGGGATTGCCGAAGAAGAAGATCAATGCATCAACTTTGGGAGCTTCGCGGATATCTTGGGGAATGCTAGAATATGCTGGATGCCTGTATCCAAGTGTGCACACATATTTCCAAGGATTTGGACTGGACGTATGTTGACCCTGGCGAAGGAGAGACCAATATATCTAAAGCGAGCTCCAGAAGATTTGCTGACCTCCTTTGGCTGCAGCCAGTTGTAGCCTGTGAAGCAGTCAACTCTTGCGGTCTGACGACCTACCTACCGTTGATGACCTATCGTTGGATGGGTCCCACCGTTGGGTCCAACAGATTGGATTGCCATAGCAACGGGTTGGCAAACCCGAGCCATGGCATGCAACGGGGAGAGCGGGTGATTTGTTGGCAAAAAGTGGTTCTCCATTTTTTTTACAAACTTGGTGGTTTGGACGTGGGCAATGGGACCTGTGGGAGAACGTCCATAGTTCTCCCAATTTTTTTAAAACAAACTTGGTGGTTTGGACATGGGCCATAGGACCTGTGGGAGAAGGTCCATAGTGCTAATGATGCACGCCAATCTGCCTCGCATTTTCAGCATTTTTTCATTCACAAAACAGATATATTAAATATATCTGCTGTTCTCCTGCTTTTCCAGACTCAACCATAACCCAAATTGGTAACAAAACTGTGTTTATCAACCTTGAACACCCTGAGGTTGTTTTCTTTGTACCTTGCAGGCGACACCTGCTTTGTCATGGACCACGTTGATACTGCAGACTCCCTTTGCCTAGCAGCCCGGCTGCTTGAGGGCTGATTGCGCGGAGCGCACACGAGAGAAGAGTCAGTTGCTTGCATTTTAGTAGGTCCTTCTGATCTCTCCCCAAGTGGATGGAAAGTCCAGAGCGGATTGTGAAAGTCTTTGTCATGGAGTGTACCGCATAGCCTCCCATGTTTCTTGGCTCCCGTCTCTGCTTCCTCCATAGATCTCTTTCTCATTTCACTTGAGTCGTGTCACATACCTTTATGATGCCACATATCATCCCACAACCTCTTTCTGTCAGTCACACACACACCACACCCACCATGTCCTGCATTGTCTAGCATCGCCTCTTGCCATGCCGTCCACTCGAGTCGCTTACAGAGACCGTGGTTATAGACTCCACATCGCGGCTGACCGTCTGGAGGAGTTCCGTCTGGCCTATGCCGCGCTACAGGCTCGCCCAACCTACAGCACCGCAGCTTTTGCACACGGCCAATTTGCTGAGATTGTCTCTGCCATGGAGTGCACCTTCGCTGCATCATCTTCGGAGGCCGACTCCACCACGTGCGTGCGAGTCCGCCGATCGTACCGCGGGGCCCAAATCGGCTTCTCCTTGCCTGTGGCCGCCTTTTTCTACTGCACCGTTGTGATTGAAGAGCTCTTTGTCGACGACGATGTCCGGCACCAACACCTTTCCCTGGAAGATTTTCGTGCCCGCTGCCGCGCCATCTTTGTGCCATGCTCAGCTTACACTCCAGGCATTTTTGTATGGGATAAGCTGTGGCTCCTTCCTCCTGCTGTCCCTCGACCTTTTGCAGGCTGGGATGCCATGGTTGCTTCACTGTCTACAGCGCCTTCAGTCATCAGCCCGACAGCTTCGAGAGCGAGCTTCTCCCGCATCTGGACCACATGTGTGGAAACAGCTACCTCTCAGCAACCGAGCCTGTACGTGGCCTGTCATGCACACGGGCGCCGGTGGTCCATCACTGTGCCAACACCAACAGCGCTGGCAGTTCGCCTCCTGGTTGAGGATCTTCTACAGGATCTCCCACCTGACTCCAGTGCAATGCAAGCCGCCTGGGCGACTCTCTCTCAGCAGCATGCCGTGGCCACGCACATCACCATTCCAGACACCCTTGCGTTTCAGCGGCAAGATTGGTCATATTCTTTGGCGCCCGGGGCATGGGAGCCTCGAGCGTATGCCTCTGATGTTGTTACCCAACGTCTCCCTTGTGGACCACCCGAAGCCACGCTTTCTTTCTGGTGTCGCCTTTGCGGTTGGACTGGCGCAGACAGGGACAGCTGGAACACTCACTTGGACTATCATGGAGGCTTTCAAGCTTATCGTCAACAGTTACTCGCGCAGCACGCTTGCGATTGGCCCCAACCTCTGGATCCGAAGGAGCTTCGGACCTGCATGGCCTCTTATTCAGATCGCTTCCACGCTGCTATTGCCCTCCCTACACAGCCCTGTGCTTGTTGTGCTTGCAACCATGTCACGGACGACAGGAGTGTGGTGTGGGACTTACGTGCACCTCCATTCGATCTGCTGCAACTACATCCTCTCTTCTCTGCCAGAAGCTACCTCGAGCGACTTCAATGCCTCTACGTGGATGCCCCTGCTGAATTTTTAGGTTTAGCCCTCCATACCTTCTCTGCGCGTGGCGTGCCCGTGCCAGCCTTTGGGGGTGCAGGCCTTCGTGATGATTCTGATTCATGGCT